GATGGATGGATGAGTAGGTAGGTGTATAGATGGATGAATGAGTGGGTGGGTGGATAGATGGATGGATGAGTGGGTAGGTGGATGGATGGATGAGTGGGTGGGTGGATGGATGGATGGATGGATGGATGGATGAGTGGGTGGGTGGATGAGTGGGTGGGTGGATGGATGGATTGATTTTAGCAGCAGCTGCTCAGATCTTTGTTTGTGCCACTGTCACTTTCTTTCCATGTGATTTTTGTTTTCACTTCCTGTTTTTGTTGCTTGGCAGCATCAGAAACCTTCAGCTGGAGCTCAGCTTGGTGTGTGAAGAGAGAGACAAACTCACTCAGGAGCTCAAAAGAACTCCGGAGCTCGTTGAGAAAGCTCTGGTTGATCTGAAAGAACAACGTGAGACCCCTCCCAGGTCACAACCCGTTTCTTCATCTCCTTATTGTTTGGGTAAATGATCATTAACCTCCTTCACAGATGAGAGTGACATGAGACGGCAGCAGCAGGAGCTGGAGCACAGCTGCACAGAGCTAAAGCTGGCCGTGGCTGCTGAAGAGAAGGCTGAGCAGAGCTTGCAGCAGACCCAAGCTCAGCTGGAGGAGAGCAACACCCGCCTGGAGAGACTCCGCTGTGAACTGCTTCGCCAGCACGAGCAAAGCCAGCACGGTGAGGCAGCAGCTATTTTCGGCTCCAGGACTGCTGTTTTCAGAGCGTTCTGTCGTCTGCTTCTACTTCACTTTACACGAGGGGCTCAGTCCAGTAAGGTCACTGGCTTTATTGGCACTGCTGGGAATTATGTGACAAGTTAATAAGACCTTGATGACTGTCTTATTTTAATTCCTCAAAAGTCACTTTAAAATTGTTTTAATATGATATTTGATGATCTTGTGATTGGAAGACACAACTCAAGCTTTCACACAAATACACAATTTTGTTTTTTTTATTGAAAATATTCAACATTTAAACAAAGCAGTGGTGTGGGTCTGCAGCACTACAAATGTTTTAAAGAAACCTTCAACTAGAGGTGCAGCATTGTTACATCATCATAATAAAAATAGAACGTGAATATCATTAAATATATTGGTCATTTAAAAACTAAATAATTTAAAGGCATCACAACCTTTAGAGCAGGGCTATTCCACTAAACTGCTCAGAGGGCCACAGTTACTGAAAACCAGCAGCTCAGGGGCCGGACATCCAACAATTAGTCTTTATGTGAGTAAACCAAGTATTAAAATGATCTATTACCGTTAAAACTTTTTTTTACTGCATTGAATCATAAATGCAATAAACAGAACCCTAAAGTGTAATTCAAAGAAATTACATTTCCATATTTATTTTTTTGCAATAACTGTAAATATTTTAATGTGAAACAATATTAAAAACAAAAATGACTCACCACACCTGTTCAACACAAATATTTTCTGACATCCCTGACTTTGTACATCTTTACACCTTTCAAAATAAAAGTAATGTTGGCTGTTTTTGATGTTCCCTGAATGAGCGACATGCTCCAGGCGGGTCCATTAAGAACCAGTTCTGCTCAGACCAGTTGTTCCTCAGTTTATAAATCACAGGTGAAGAGTCCACGTCCTGCTCAGGTGTGAGCTTTGAGCAGAACCAAAAGAGGCGGAGCAGAACTCAGCTGGACTGACAGCGAGCACGATGCGTGTGCTTCGAACGTCTTCCTGTCATTTACTATAATGAATGAACTCAATCGATCCTAATTGTGGTTATTTTTTAAACTAACTACAAAGCTGCTGTGCGTCGTCATCAACATTCCCCAGTAATAAATCTGTTTGTTGTTGTTGTTTGATCCGACTCGCATGTGATCCTCATAGAATCAGTTTATCAGAACTCCCTGTGCAGCCTTTCGACTCATGTTTCTGCTCATTTAATTATTATAATTAAACATTATTAACACCAGTACAGCTATTACCAGTAGTAAGCCCCAGATTAAAGCAAATATATGTGTCTCTGTGTAACTTTTATTTATTTTATATATAGTTATCTAGCTAAGGAAGTTTAATTAACTCATCTGTGGGCTGGAATTGGCCCGCGGGCCGTCAGTTGAATAGCCCTACTTTAGTTGTGCTCACTTGTTTTGCTTCCAGTTCTAACCCTGACATCACATTTATTTATATTTATTGGTAAGACTGAGCATCACTTTAAAGCATACGCTCATAAAGACTTGTGGAGGTGTAATAATCTCTCCTGTTATTGAGGAATACTCCTGTGTAAGCCAAAGAAGATAATAAAGGATGCATCAAAGCTCCTTTTTTCTTGCATTTCGAAAATGTAAGCTGCTCCTGTCATGACTGATACTTGGATGTTTTTCAGTCAATTCATTTAGTCAGGCACTTTCCTAAATGAAAACAGCCATTTGACTGAAACGGGGACCCCCCCACTCACAGCAAAAATGCACACAGAAGCACATCAATCACCTCTGGACAGGAAAATACTAAAAACACATGAACTTGCAGGTGTGCCTAAAATCATGGTACTGTAATGTTAAAGTACATTTCTGGGTGAAGTTTGCATGTTCTCTCTGTGCATGCGTGGGTTTTCTCCGGGTGCTCCAGTTTCCTCCCACAGACCAAAAACATGCATGTTAGGCTGACTGGTAACTCTAAATTGTCCCTATGTTTGAGTGAGAGTGAATGGTTGTTTGTCTCGTTTGTCTCTATGTGTCCC